CCTCTGTCCTCTCACTGGCCCCCTCACTATATTGTAGTATATAAGATCAACAGACGGCACGGAGCGTACTGTCTGTCTGTCATACTCTGGTGTGTGTAAACGTCGTGCGCTCGGCACATCCTTACTAATATTATAAATCGGAAAGTGAGTTTGTTTGTTTGTTCCGCTTTCAAGCCGTAACTACTAAACCGATTGCTTTACATTTTTGCAGACGTAAAATTAGAAGTCTGGATTAAATAATAGGGTACTTTTTATCCCGGAAAAATTTGATATTCTCGAGGTAAAACGAAATTATTGGTATAGATGGCGCTGTGTGTATTGGTATATGTCACTTAGGCTACTTTTTATCCTTTTGTGTCGCGAGCGAAGCCTCGGGCAAAAGCTAGTTATTATAATAAATCCAAGTATTAACTATTCATTCACAAACATAACACTTCTAAAACCACAGAATCAACAAGACAGCATTTTGAAGACAACTTCTTACCTAACATAAAGTCCTCAGTCACCTCCCGGGCAATGAACGGCACACTCGGGTACAGTCTTAAGATTTCTTTGATAACTGCCTCCAGATACTTCATTTCAGCCAGATCAGACATCGTTGGAGATGTGTCTGAATCACCCAGGATCGTCTGACATTCTTCGTAAATCCGTTCCTGGTTGAAAAAACCAATAAGGTTTAAGCAAATACGGGAAATACTTTATGAAAAACAAATTAATACACTACACTTGCACTCAAGTACACTCAAGCATGGATAACTGCGCAAATTCTATCTAAAACCCTCCATCTTCAAAGGACATTAGAATAAGGAGCAAAGTTTCGCATTAAACAGCGATAAATTGCTAAAACAGCTTCCATTTTGTTTTTTTCGCGTCAAGTTAAAATGGCGGCTGTGTAATAAAAGTGAGACGCAACCCAAACGTTTCCCTAGATTAGATTAACAAAGCCCTCGCGAGCACTTGAAAAAAAATGCTTCTTTACAACAAAATTGGGGAACTTTAAAGTATTTTCTGGCAAGATTTGTTATCTTGTTCAAAGTTTGGCTGATGACCTTGGATTGCTGAGGGTTCAGAATTTACTACTCTCACTTAAGAGGCTTTTGAAGCCGGATAATATTTATTGGTTGGCTACATTTCAGCGCGAAATAAAATATGAATAAGTTAGAATGTTACGGTAAAAATGTTCCAACAAATCGAGAAATTTCCCTTTTGTTTTTCCATGGTAGAAAAATACAGTTAGAATGTGACTTATTTTTCTATGTGAAATATGAACGTGTGTAAGTAAAATTATCATAAACCATAATAATACGTTATTATGTTCAGAGTGCCAAACTCGAATAAGTATCGCATTCGTAACGTAATAGTATCGAGTGCGTTCGGCGCTCTGATTGGCGTGCTCAAATGAACCAACCAATCAGAACGTTTAACTCGCTTAATACTGTTACGATACGAATGCGATAGTTATTCGTGCTGGGCCCTTAGCAGTGCGTTTTACTGAAACGTAGTCGAAACCGAATCGAAAAACTCAATACCTCTACCTCAGTAACCTCGGCAATCTTTACAATCACTATAATCACTACCTACATGAACATAATTTTTAAGTAAGAAATAAGTAATGTTTATATTATCACTGTCATTCGACACTAAATTAATTATTATGTTTTTTCGGCTTTCTGACGTAGGTAACCGCTTGACGAGGAACTCGACTAGTTAAAATAAATACTCGACTGGCTCATTGGCCGAGTGGTCGCAAGTACGACTGCCGGGCAAGGTGTCTCGGGTTCGATTCCCGGGTCGGGCAAAGTATTACTGGGTTTTTTTTTTAAATTCACAATGGAATTGTGCCCGGTATATGGCAATAGGCTCACCCCCTATAACATGGGACTCATAACATAAATAGTGAAAAGTGGGTGTTACATTATACAGTGGCATAATGTAAACCTCTGCCTACCCCTTCAGGGATAAAAGGCGTGATGTTATGTTATAAATACTCGACTACTTCATATAATTACATACGTATTAAACAAATTATTAACAACAAAATAACACAAAACATACAAACAGATTACTTAAATCGCTTTCAAAGAAGTGGCACGTATAGCAAATTATCAAGGGTAGTGAAAACGTTGAATAATTTTATGGTACGTGAAACTGAAGCCGGTTTCTCCAAAAGGCCATTCAGACGCGTTTACTTTATCCATTTTGGTTGCCTTGTAATTATCTCGTGTAATAAGAGTCGAGTATAATGTCACATGTCGAGACTCACTCACTGTACAGGTTGAAAATATTTTATGTCGTCTTTTTTATTTTTTGTTTATTTTATGGCATAAGCCGGTAAACGAGCAGACGGATCACTTGACGGTTAGCAATCGGCGTCGCCCATGGACACCTGAAACACCAGAGGCCGTTACGAGTGCGTTACCGGCGTTTTGGGATTAGGAGTTTGAGGATTGTTGGGGATTCAGGAATTGGGGAGATTGGGGAAGGGGAGTGTAACTGAGCCTCCGATAACCTCACTCACACGACGAAACACAACGCAAGCGTTGCTTCACGTCGGTTTTCTGTGAGGCCGTGGTATCACTCCGGTCGAGCCGGCCCATTCGTGCCGAAGCATGGCTCTCCCACACGGCAACTTATTTACGCACATGAGACAATAGCTATATGTAAGTTTAAGGCACTATTCTCATCACACGTGTCACCTACCAAGAGATAGTGATCAAACGGCCCATCAAAATACAAAAAGAATATTTAAAAAAAATATACCTCTTCGAGAATTAGGTAGATGACAAATTTTTATTTTAATGTCTGTCTGGTAGATTGTTTTAAAACATTAGACACGTATTTTTTATTTTCTTACGGAAACGAGTACCTACCCAGTTTCGAAGATATATTGATTTGAAATATCGCATGACGTCACTTTTGAGTACGATTTACTCCCATTCTTAAACTTTGATTCGTTTTATCTAAGTATTGTTTTGTTATACGACAAAATAAAAAAATATGTGTCTAATATTTTTTCATTACCTAACTGACGGACTAATTTCATTTTTAATTTTCATACCCTGTCATCATCCCTATTACAAGGCATGATGTTTTAATACAGAATTAAGACTGCCTCGTTGGCCGAGTGATCGCAAGTGCGACTGCCGGGCAAGGAGTCTCGGGTTCGATTCCCTGGTCGGGCAAAGTATTACTGGGTTTTAAAAATCTCAATAGTAGCACGAAGTCTGGAAATGTGCCCGGTATATGGCAATAGGCTCACCTCCTAATACATGGGACTCATAACATTAAATAGTGAAAAGTGGGTGTTACATTGTACAGTGGCATTAAGTGCCGTAATGTGCATCTCTGCCTCCCCCGACGGGGATAAAAAGGCGTAATGTTATATGTTTTATATATGGTGTTTTAACTCGTCGAGTACCGGTTTTGTAGACACAATTATAGAACAATAGGTTGCGGTCACCGGTGACCGCTTGGTGTTTGACAGTTTAATAGTGTGATATGTGTTCGAATATACTTTCGAAGTTTGATTTTTGCAATGGTTCGTTGATTTTTTTTACTTTGTAAGACTATATTGTATTACCGAGAAAAAGCCATTTTACTTCGAGAAAAAACGATATGAACACGGTGTATACATTAGACATATTATTATTAGTTTGATTCCGCGAAAGGATTGACAACAACGTTTTGGTCTTTTTATTATATGTTGTTTCAGTAAAATTCAAGACTTTTGTTATATCTATATTAACTATACTTAATTTTGTTTGGAAATCCCGGACAAATTTATAATAACATAATATCACGCCTTTTATCCCCGAAGAGATAGGTAAAGGTGCACGTAATGCCACTGTACAATGTAACACCCACTTTTCACTATTCATGTTATGAGTCCCATGTAATAGGGAGTGAGCCTATTGCCATATACCACCTATTGTCTATTGCCATATTTTTTTAAGACATACGCATACCTACGCATATTCCAAAACATAATATATTTAAATTAACTAAAATTGCGGGTTACTCACGTGAATATACTGAGAAAAGCTCTACTAGTTTCGAACCACAGAGGGGTTCTTCCTCATGAGCAGCGTGCGCGGTCGCGGCGAAGTCGCGCAGCTCACTGGTCATTTTAGTTTACTTAGTATATCTCACGGTAGTGAGATAAAAACATAATATATTTTTCTAAAACCAAATCATTCCTTAATAATTCACACTACTTCTTGAAAAAAACAACAAAAATCTGTCTAATAGTCTTCTAGTTTATAAAGTTCTTACATAATATGTACAGAAAGGAAAGATGTTACGATTAAACTGTCAAACACCAAGCTGTCACCGGTGACCGCAACTTATTGTTCTATAATTGTGCCTACAAAACCGGTACTCGACGAGTTAAACTAAAGCATATAAAACTCTATCATTAATTTTCTACATCACAATAACATGGCGGAAAACATGTCAAGATAGTACCACTAAAGGGTACGCCACATAGGATTAACTAGCGATTAATTAAGATAAACTGTTACACGCAATACCCTTCGCTTTGGGAAACAACTCCAGCCTGCTATCAATTCTGATTTCATGTACCTACGTCAGAATATTTAAGTACCGGTTAATGATAAAGGAGTTCTGAATAGCAGCTTTTTTTTTAAGGGGAAAAATCATCGAATGACTGCTCCCGTCTGGGTGAGGCGGGAGGGAGTGTCAGACTCTTACTGACTCAAAACGACCCCGTTCCTTCTCCTGCACGTCGAGCCGGAGCCCCGGTAACCCGTTAAGTTCTCCGCGACCTGAATATTTGTAGATGTCGCAGCTTGTATTTAATTATCTCCTTACAAGGACGTTTTTTTTATATATTTGATGGGACTGACGTTTGACCACTATCTCGCCTGGTGGTAAGCGATCATGTGGACTACGATGGAGCACGTCGACCCATAAGCAACCTATTCACTCGGGCCTTGAAGACACCCAGATAACACAAACTCTGGCAAAGAATTCCACTCCTTAACAGTACGCACAAGGAAGCTTGATGCGAAGCGCTTCGTGTGTGTGGGTGGGACATCTACCATGAATCGGTGACGCTTAGCCGATTGTATTGTAGTACGGTGATGGAAAGGACTAGGGGGAATCAAGTTGTGCAATTCCCCAGCCGGATACACTCTCCGATTGCAAAATTGCAACCTTACGCCTGTGTTCCAGGCATTGAAGCCGGGCCTCCACAAGCGCATCATCGTTGATGAGCCTCTTGGCACGCCTTTCGATGTGCTCTAACGCGTCCAGCTGATATTTGACCGAGCCGTCCTAAAGATGAGAGCAGTACTCCATACAAGACTGAACCGAACCAACGTTGAAAAATAGGCGGACATATTCTTTTGAAACAACGACTGTGTCACCTGGCTACTATAGACTTACACGCGGAATACACACACATTGATACGAAGGACATCTATCGCGTGACGTGGCCCGTCATTATACTTGTACATTACGGTGTTGCAAGTACACGCACACATAAATACACCACTGACATTTAGGTGCTTCAATCATTTCTAAGTGACAGTAAGTCCGCTTTTTTCCAGGTCCTTGAGTCGTTTTCGCAAGTCGTAATGTAGATATGGTAATGGGTTTTGTTTTCTATAATATGACAGAACATAATAATATCATAACACAGTTCCTTAAACAAAGAATTACGAAATAACTTTCAATTACCTGTACTTCTGGATGGTCTGCTAGCAACATAAGTCCAAAAACGAGAGCCATTGCTGTAGTGTCGTGTCCCTGAAACAAAAATCTTATTAACAAACCAACACACTCAAAAATCCCTCTTTCATGTATTAGAAAATTTTTCATAAACCCATATTTTCCAGGTCTTCATTTATTAATAACCGGCATTACCTAATGTATTTTGGAAGAATATTTCGTGAAAATATTACCGTAACGAATTCGCTGAATTAGTTTTTCTTGAAGCAAAGTAAATCCTCCATTTTGTTAATGTGATTTACATATCTTACCAGATGTTTCTTTCGACAAACATTTGAGTACTAGAAAGTAGGAGATTGAATTTGAGACATCACCTATTTGCAAATAGCCCAAAATAAAAGAGTATTTGCTCAAAGCAGCCAGGCTATTCTGTAAAATGTAAATTCGAACAAAAGTGCGATTGGTATCACTTCCAGAGTTCGAATTGTTATGTTACAAATAGCCTAGCTGTATTAAGTTACTTCGTTTGTCGATTGTCCTTGTCGTTGCCTCGTTGCCAGTGCGACTACCGAGCAAGGGGTCTCGGGTTCGACCCGGGCAGGGCCGGGCAAAGTATTACTGGGTTTTTTCAAAAATCTCAGTAGTAGTAAGGAGTCTGGAATTGTGCCCTGTATATGACAATAGGTTCACACTCTATCACATGGGACTCATAACATAAATAGTGAAAAGTGGATGTTACATTGTACAGTGGCATTCAGTACCGTAATGTGTACCTCTGCATACCCCTTCGGGGATAAAAGGCGTGAAGTTATGTTGTGTTTGTGATATCAACAAAATCATATGATTTTATTGTTGAAACTTATCACATTACAAGAAGTCAAAGTACAAAAGACTTTCAAAAAAGGTAAAAATATAACAATGTTCATACTACATCACTCACCTCAAACATAAACGTATTAACTTCTTCTCTTATTCCCTCTAAATCAATTTCTCCTTTCCTCTCAGCTTCTAACAATACGTCCAACATGGCCAACCTCTTCTTACCACCTACATCATCTTCTCCTGCATTACTCTGTCCAGGTTTCCAATTCTTCTTCCTCTCCATTATCACGTTATCAGCAAAAGGATGAACTTTCTCTAGACATTTCTCAAACTGTTTACCCATTGGGAATTTTCGGAAGATATACTCATTGTGCAGCCACACTCTTGTGAGACGACCCATAAGTAGCCCCCCAATTTGCAGGATAGCTGTCTTATATTCTTGGGTCTTTGTAGAAGAATCAGAGTCTAATTGAGTACCCATTGCGGTTTCTGTAAGAGGATAGTAAATTATATGTATTTATAGAAGACAGCTAATTAATCTTGGTACCTGGATAACCGCGCGTTGTTCGGTGTATTTTGGTGCATATTGTCTTAGAAAAAAGGAAATGTTATGGAATAAATAGAATAAAATATAAAAAATAAAATAGAACCAAATATAAAAGAGAAAACAGAATAAATAAAAGAACCATTGGGACCAAGTGAAACAAGTGAAACAAGTGAATTTATTTCTGCAAATAGGCTACAAGGCAGCACTTTTACACGTCAATTTTATCAAGTGAACGATGAGGTCGACATTTCCTGACTACTCTGAGAAGAAATGCCGAAACAAACTCAGAGGTCTGTCTCTTTTAAAGTCCAGACAATATGTATAATAGATTATGTGTGAGAACCGTGCAAGTAACACGACCGAGGATTGAACCCGTGTGTCCTGCGTGGAAGGCACTCGATTTCCCGACTAAGCTATTAAACTTTCCCTACTGACGTCGATGCGGACGAATTTTTCGATGCTTTGTGTAGTAAATAGTTATTTTTAGTATTCTTTTATTAAATTTTTATCTTAAATTGTATATATTTTGTAATAGTTAGTATTTATTTTATTTCAGATTGTATATTAATAAAGTACCGTATCTAAAAAGTTATTAAAACGTTGACGAAATTTAGTTTCGTGTTCTAATAATATTTATTATAAGTTTTTATTCAATAAAAACAAGGACAAAATAACAATTTCTGAAAATCAAGCCTAGTCAAATCAAATCAAATCAAATAAAGCTAGATTTGTCGCCCCGAAACCTCCTAAATACAAAATTTCAAGAAAATTGGTATATTCCGAGATCGAGTACCTATATATTATTATCAAGTTGCGCCGCCATGATGTCCTGGTAAAATGTATCCCAAGGGAATAAACATGCGTGACTTGTGACGTTAAATTAGCCTTACAGAAACGAACAACGAACAGACTAAGATGTAACCCAGAACAGTTCCGTCCCTTAATTTCCTCTTATCCGGCACATTTAACGAACGAAATTCTGAGAAAATCAAGCTTTTCTGTTCCTTGACCTTATCTAGGCAATAAAACTGGCTTAAAAATAATCCTCTCGAATATTTCGGTGACGTCACGAGACCACATCTGCTCAAGATTAGGGTGTCCCAAAAAATCTACAGATGTTGGCAGATTATGAACCTACGTCTGCAAGCAAAGGTCTTATTAAATAAATGGCGACAGAAACCCGCAGTGTTAAAAAGTAAGGGTATAATATTATACCACTTTTGCAAGTATATATTCAACTATACTGCCTCGTTGGCCGAGTGGTCGCAAGTGCGACTGCCTGGCAAGGGGTTTCGGGTTCGATTCCCGGGTCTGGCAAAGTATTACGGGGTTATTAAAAAAATCTCAGTTGTAGCACGGAGTCTGGAAATGTGCCCGGTATATGGCAATAGGCACACCCCCTATTACATGGGACTCATAACATAAATAGTGAAAAGTGGGTGTTACATTGTACAGTGGCATAATATGCACCTCTGCCTACCCCTTAGGGGATAGGAGGCGTGATGTTATTCAACTATCTATTTTTTCCTCAGATTATTTTTGTGAAAAGTCTAAAGTTCGTCTATTGGCTTTGACATTACAATGTATCACGTATTTTTCCATAAAGTCAGAGCTGTTACTACTGAAAAATTACAGTATAGGTTAAAAAATTAAAAAAAAACAATTTATATCGGATTGTTATGCTATAGAAGATACAGTCAAAGTCAAAGTCAATGTCAATGTCAAAGTCAAAGTCAAAGTCAAAGTCAAAATCAAAATCATTTATTTCAATTATCCCAGAATGGCACTTTTGAACGTCAAAAAATAATAATATTAAAAGTGAAGCTATTTGCTCATTCCAAGGTGTAGATTCCTATGGAGAAGAACGAGCAAGAAACTCCATAGATTAATATTAGCCGTGACGTTAAAAGTTACAAAAGTTTAACAAGAAAACAATGAAGTTTGTTTATTTGCTGGATAAACTCCGTAAGCGATGAAGCAAGAACGAGCAGACACGCTACTTTTAAAAGTAAAAAGTAAAAAAGTACCAAGTATTTTAGTCGTCAGTCTTCAGATAAATCAACAAGAAGTAGTCTGAGAGGCATAGTACTGAGCTCAAATCGTAATTTGAACTTTCGAACAAATTCTAAGTAAATTCTGCAATGCCTAGATAAACCATAAGTTTTCTGGGTGCTTGGTTAGACTGTGTTACTTAGTTATCAGAAAACAACTGAACCAGGATCGTCCAATACCTCTAGAATGAGAAAAAACAAAAACTTACGTTAGGTGAAAATTATGAAAGAAATCATTAAAAAAATATAGCTCAAAAATTATGCAAAATCGTAGAACATACCTACATGGGGGTACTTTGGATACTCCTCATCATTAAAATTTTGCAATTGAACGTCAATTCCCCGGCCACCCTGTATATTTTGTTATTTTTACTTTGAATTAGTGCCTCTATTAAACTGTCAAACACCAAGCGGTCACCGGTGACCGCAACCTATTGTTCTATAATTGTGTCTACAGAACCGGTACTCGTCGAGTTAAGCAAATCTTAAAACATTAAAGTTCTAGGCAAAACAAGCAGACATGGTAAACTACGTAGAGCAAGACTGCCTCGTTGGCCGAGTGGTCGCAAATGCGACTGCCGAGCATGGAGTATCGGGTTCGATTTCCAGACCGGGCAAAGTATTACTGGATTTAAAAAAAAATCTCAGTAGTAGCACGGAGTCTGGAGTTGTGCCCGGTATATAGCAATAGGATCACCCCCTATTACATGGGACTCATAAGATAAATAGAAAAGTGGGTGCTACATTTTACAGTGGCATAATGTGCACCTTTGCCTACCCCTTCGGGGATAAAATGCGTGATGTTACGTTACGAACCTAAATATCTTACACTATTATATAAGGCTGAAGATTCTGTCTGTTTCTTTGTTGCAACACGACTACTGCACTGGTGAGAATTAAATTATTATTTTGTATTCGATAGTTGCTTTACCGAGGATGGCTGTAGACTATAAAACATCAAGCTACGATCGATAGGACCGAACAGACCTGGTGAACCCGGAGTAGCTACTAAAGCCATACAAAATAACACCTTTTAATTAACACACAAAATACATTTTCAATTACCCACCACAGAATAAAAAAGTTGCACGTCTGTATAAACTGTACTATTCAAAGATTCAAGAATATCTCAGCAATACCATTAATGTTAGGAACACAAACGTTTTGAAAGGCAAATTGGATATGCCGTAATCAAGTTTTTGTATCTTGTAAAGGAAAATACACATTTTTAGTTTGCTTAGGTTAGCAACCTACTTTTAGTACTAACTGTACATTTTCGGAATTAATGTTTGTCATTTCATTTTAGGACCTTTTCGCGGAGACCGTAAAAGAGAAAGAAATCGTTTGAAATCCAATTCGTAATATTATTCAAAAGGAATTGTTTGAATTACTACCTTCTGCCTGCGACTTCGTACGCGTAGTATTTTTAGGACTTTTTCTGTCTTAAGAACCTTCTCCTAATAATAATAAATACAACAGAAAAGAATTAGTGAAATCGGTCCAGCCATTCACGCGTGATGCCGTAACCATGGGGGAAAAAGGGATTCATTTTTATATACCTAAAACTCCTATGTCGAGTTTTAGTTTTATTAGTAGCTACGCCCTTCGCGTTACCCTAGCCTTCCACTATGGAGTCGCGGAGAACCTAACGGGTAACCGGGGCTCCGACTCGACGTGCAGGAGAAGGAACGGGGTGGTTTTTAGTCAGTAAGTCTGACACTCCCTCCCGCCTCGCCCAGGCGGGAGCAGTAATTCGATGATTTTCCCCCCTTAAAAAAAACAGCCTTCCACTATAAATGGACACCAAGGCAAAAAAATCTAACCAGTTTTTTTTAATTCTTTTTTTTAATTCGATACCCTTGGGATCCATGAAGCGATGTCACTGGCGATTTTTTTTTTCACTTTTAGAACACACTAATATGTTTCTTTTACAATAGAATGCTCTCATTTTAAAAGTAACTAATGTTCCTTTCAAAACAAATCAAAACTAAAAATCGCTAATGACATAGTTTCTATGTGTATAATAAAATATAACCTATTCTACTTATTTTAGGGTTCTTTTTCGACTTACCACAAATAGTATACAGGGTACAATCACTAATGACCGGCATGAGGTTGACTTCCTTGCCGTCGTACTCCTTCAGCTTGTCTACCAGTCCTCGACTCCTCTCCTCCATCACGTTGGTGAAGTTCTTTAGAATGTTGAAGTGGAAAGTTGGAGTCAGGATCTTGCGACGTCTGTGCCATTTTGCACCTGGTGAATTTAAAGACTATTATGCAACGTGATTTATATGGATTTTTCTGATGTTTATTGAGATTTTTTTTGTGTATATATTTGCTGGGCCTACGTTTGACCACTATCTCGCCTGGTGGTAAGCGATGATGCGGTCTATGATGAAGCACGTCGTCCCATAAGCAACCTATTCACTCGGGCCTTGAAGACACCCACCCCTTCAGGAAATACAGACTCTGGTTCAGTACGCACAAGTAAAGATTTTAGAGCCATAAGTCTCTAGGATCACATTCAATAATGGGTTAAACAGTTTAACATTAGGATAAATTATATTGTAAACAAAACAAGGAGTTAAGTGATATCTAACACAAAACTCTTCTCTGTTAACTTGTTACCTAAAACAAATACAAACGTAGCTCCATCGCTACAAACACTAAATATTAATTACTATTATTTCAACAAACTAACCACTTGACAAAAGCGTCATAAGTAGTAAAACACAGTCGCACAACGTGATAGTGATTAAACCACTAACTAACTCCAACTATAGTTCTAAGACCTGCGGCTTTATTATTAGTACATTGTAGCATTTATGACCTTTGAACACCAACTAAAATCTAACCAACAATGTCGTGCAACCACATTTTGAGAAAACAAATGGAAATTGTGGAAGGTAAACATTTCATGTAGAAAGAAAAAATTTAACTTTTAGATATTGTCAAATTCTATAGGGCTTTTTTATGACGGCGGGAATTTTTTTTTTTTTTTGAGGGGGGAAAATCATCCAATGACTTCTCCCGCCCGGGTGAGGCGGGAGGGAGTGTCAGACTCTTACTGACTAAAAACCACCCCGTTCCTACTCCTGCACTTCGAGCCGGAGCCCCGGCAACCCGTTAAGTCTTCCGCGGCTCCGTATCGGCATCAGCCCTGTTAGGCCCCATCTGTGGTGGTCTGATGGCTCCTTGAGGCGCGCGCGGGAACCTGACTGCACGATTGGCACGCTACCGCGCAATGTGAAGCGGTTTTGATTCCCGCACGAAACTACTCTTTGTGTGATCCACAAATTGTTGTTTCTGGTCTGGGTTTCATGTGTATGTGAATTTATATGTTTGTAAACTTACCCACGATACAGGTGAAAAGCCTAGTGTGGGGCAACGGTTTAAAAAAAAATCATAAGCCACCTAGGTTTTAGAGACAAAATACTAGGGAGTGCGGTATGGGATTTATATCTCACTCTCTCAAAGCTACCCCGATGGCCACCATCATCACCTATAGAGGGCACCGACCGGGCACTCTAATACACCTGCTCCGGAGCCCTCACGGTAACTTCTGTAGGCCTAAGGTTCTTTAGTGAGTGGTAACCACAAAAGCATCGTCGTTATTCTTCCTCGAGGAGCCCATAATACAGTAGTGGGTTGTATGGGATGTTTATAATGATGACGAAGCTTTATATATTTGTCCTAAGGACATTGATCATGTATTGTCAAAGATGAGATCTTGCATTGAAGAAGAAAAAATAAACTAAGGATTATTTTTCTCCGTGTTCGTTGTTTTAGTGACGCAGTTTCGTCGCTGGCTTTATTAGACTATATTTCTAAGGACATTTCTATGTGAAATACTGAGTAATTATTGCAGCTGGATAGGCTTAACTCTAAATTATTAAGATAAAAGTAAGTTTTTTTACATACATTTCAAAAAAATAAAGATAAAAATTAAAAATAAAAACTGTTCGCAATTCCCCTCCCTTGTAATTTGATTGGATATGCGGATGATGACCTTTTGCTAGTACAGTCAAATACCCACGCCGCGCTAAATAAATCAAGTACTTAAATCAGTAAAATAAAAGACAAAGAGAGATGGACTTACCAGAACTGAGCAACAGTCCAGTGCCAAGCCAGCCTTCCAAGAAGCTGTATGGCTTACTCTTCTTTATGTTCCTCGGATGAGACAACACGATCTACAAAGAATAATAGAATATTAATAAGACGACACGGCACTTTCCTTCATTGGTTTTATAAACGTTGCCCTATTATGTGTTATTTTAACTGGCGAATGAAACGAATGTTTCGATTTCATTTCTTGACAACATTACTACTCCATCATCAGCTTTAGCGTTTTGTCGATTTTTTATATTGCAGAGATGTACTACAATGCACAATTTGCATATAGATTGCACTGTGTATAGATACAACCATGCATAATACACTCATCGCCCAAACACTCAGATTGTGCTGAAATAATTATTATTTCAATGAATATTTCATGTACAATTTAATTTAAGCCGTACAGCTGTGTCTGAAAGTTTGATTTCATTCAATTTATAGTCAAAAAACAGAACAAATTCGATTGGGAGTCATGTTATACTAAGAGTTCCGTAGTATAAAAAGCCAAATGCCGATGACGAATGATGATGGTCATAAAGTCTAGGCCATGACGAAAAAAGTACAAAAGCCATGTATGTCTCTAGGTTAGAATTATGTTAAGTATTTTAAACTTAAAAATCTTAGGATTTTTGATTTTTTAAGGGGGGAAATAATCGAATGACTGCTCCCGCCTGGGTGAGGCGGAAGGGAGTGTCAGACTCTTACTGGCTAAAAACCACCCCGTTCCTTCTCCTGCATGTCGAGCCGGAGCCCCGGTTACCCGTTAGGTGCTCCGCGACTCCGAATCGGCATCAGCCCTATTGGGCCCCATCTGTGGTGGTCTGATGGCTCATTGAGGCGCGCGCGGAACGCGACGCGCCGTACGCTCTAGGATAGGATCTCGTTGTTCACCTAAACAAACTATTAACCTTGTCCCATAAAAGTTAGTAGATATTTTTTTAAAACTACCTCCTTTTAAAAAATTGACTTCAACCGCCTATTTTTTGAAGTCGACTTAATTAATATACTGAAACTCTCTCCCAATTATATATAACAAATACTTTTCTGAAAACCACGAGATATTTGCGGACATACATACATACATACATACATACATACATAAAACTGAGAACGTCCTTTTTTGGAGTCGGTTAAACATGCATAGTTATATCTAGAGGTACTAAATGAAGACACTTATATATAAGAATATACTTACTTATTTAGCTTGACGAGAGCGCTATTAGTTAATAGAAATAAATTTATAACAGGCATAACAGGTGTATTTCGTACAGATCTCTAAAATAAACAATCTCATCCATTCTCAGTATATTGGCCCTTTGTAGTTATTAAACATTTACATTTCAAATATAGACGGAGATAAAATTAATATTTTTCAACAACAAAAGTAATTTAACAATAATTTTGGATTGTGATTTTGGCTCTTTGTTGAATAAGTAAGGCTTTATTGTTATTTATTACAATATATACATAATAATTATATCCATACAATTATTTTAATTTATATACTTGATATAAATGCTACATATTTTATATACCTGACGCGGAATCCTACAATAGTTTATACGTAATACAATGGCAAAGAAAAAGCCTATGGAATTTACCAATCATGGCTTTCCATCGAAAGAATAAATTAAATGTGGTATGTATGGCAAATAAAATACGATTGCAATAGGGATGATGACAGGGTATGAAAATTAAAAATCTTATTAGTCCGTCAGTTAGGTACCTAATGAAAAAATTTTAGAGACGTATTTTTTTATTTTGTCGTAGAAGAAAACAATACTTAGATAAAAAGAATCAAAGTTTAGGAGTGGGAGGTAGCTACGTCATTATAGTATAAATCGTACTCAAAAGTGACGTCATGCGATATTACAAATCAATATATCTTCGAAACTATTCGTTTCCGTAAGAAATCTACAAGACGGACATTAAAATAAAAATTAGTCATCTACGGTATTGTAATGACTTGTATCCAAAAGTAGATGCAAACAGGCGGCTGACGATGATGATGAATGACTTCTTCAATGAGTGAGTACGAATACGCTGGTATGTATGGTTATCCCTTTGTTGATGCACGCGCCAGACATGTTAAGTGTTCACATTTTGCGACACATGCCAATTATAAGGTGATATCAAGCGGTTCACTCGAATGAATATTCACCCCAGTGAATGTTTCAAATATCTTTCATTCCATTGTCAGACGACTTAAGTGGAATGACAGAGAAAAAGACATACATTTGTTCTTTTTTACAATATGATTGATGACTTGATGAAGACTAAAAGGACTGTCAGACTCTTACCTAAAAAAAGGTATTGCCGTTTTTTGTCGGTAACCACAGAAAATACAAAACACAATGCTTAACATTACAATGCTGAACATGAAAAATAAACAGATATTAAACTGTCAAACACCAAGCGGTTACCGGTGACCGCAACCTATTGTTCTATAATTGTGTCTGCAAAACCGGTACTCGACGAGTTAATATTATTATAAAACACTGGCTGACCATGCAAACTTCGTAGCGTCATTATTTTTCTTACTGTTTAACCTTCCCTGGACTTCCACGAATATTTCAAAGCGGCCCAAATTAGCCAAATCGGTTCAGACGATTTCGAGTTTCAGCGAGACTAACGAACCCAAATTCATTTTTATTTAGGATACCTATATAGATTTTCAAATTATGTTTGGACAGTCAAAGGTCAAAAGTCCATTGCCACCGTGAGTGATGTTCACACGGCAATACGTAAGTAATTTCATATTAATGTGCATAAACACGCGTGCGTACGCACACGGATAAAGATGCGTGTGCAAGTGTGTATAAGCGCTGCAGCGCAACCGATAGTAGACTTACGGTGGCAGTGGACTTTTGACCTTTGACTGTATATTATAACCAACCTCAACATCATTAACATTGTGCAGATGTAGAATCCTTCTTCGTAATATTTTAACAATGTAGCGGCCTCCATACACCTTACTGTACAGTCGCATTTTCTTGAACATTACACCTGCAACAAATAAGTTTAATTTATTCTGCTGTTGTTATAAATGTAATGTGTGTTTGTTTGTAGTGCCACATTGGCCGAGTGGTCTCGGGTTCGATTCCCGGGTCGGGCAAAGTATTACTGGGTTTTTCAAAAAATTCACAGTAGTAGCACGGAGTCTGGAATTGTGCCCGGCGTATGGCAATAGGCTCACCCTCTATTACATGGGACTTATAACATACATTGGCATAATTTACACCTCTGCCTATCCCTTCGGGGGTAAAAGGCGTGATGTTATGTTTGTTTGTCTCTGAATCGATTGTCATACATTTTAGAGCACTATGAGAACAGTGATCAAAAGATCGAAAAATAATTCCCCAGTGTTAAAGAAATTAAAAGTCTGATTTTAGAGCCTGATTTTTATAGTGATTTTTAAAGAATATTTCTATAAATGCAAGTCTGGGAACAGCAGAGACGAATTGAAAGATTAGAAAGACTATAATTAATCGTGTCTTTGTCTGTAAAACTGTAAATCTATGTCAACATATATACAGATAAATAAAATTTGTATCTATTTGTAACATGGACTGCACAGTTGGTGCGGTGGCTGGGCAACCGGCTGCCGTGCAACGTGTCGCGGGTTCGATTCCCGCACGGAACAACACTTTGTGTGATCCATAAATTGTTGTTTCGGGTCTGGGTGTCATGTGTATGTGAACTTGTATGTTTGTAAACGCACCCACGACACAGGAGATAAAAAAATCTATCCTAATGTGCGGCAAATAAAAAAAAACATTGAAATAAAAACATTTTACTACATTCATAAGAATATATGCACATGCATTGTATCGCTCGATTCCCTACAAAATGGTTGTGTTGGGCGGTGCTGGGGAACGTGTCATGTTCGTGAACCAGCGCGTTACTGATTTCGACGGGACTTTTACTGATAGGCAGCTAATATACTAAGGAGTAACATAGGCTACGTTTATTTTAGAAAAACGCAGACAAAATATAAGAATCAGAAATCTAAATATCATAATAATATGTGTTACGATAGGAAAAGTCTGAATTAGAAACCAAAGCTTATTACAATAAATAAACAATACAATTAACGTTATAACTTCAGTTTCAAAGTCTCGCTAATTGAGAGTTAAATGCTGTTCAACGTGTTTACATCAAAACTCTAGAGAGTTCTGGTTTGATATTGTTGAGGGTTGCAATCTTAACCAATTAATTAATCTTAATAAACATTACATTGCGCTTTCTATAGCTTGAAGGGGTAAATAGTAACTATATATTTACCTTTCGCTGATTGAGTATTTAGAGTGTTGTTTACATATTTATGTATTGGTGTACTTACAATGCTAAACTCCATACATATAACGATTTAGTGCCATATATAAATCGAACAACATTTATCGCAGACGAAGGGCTTTTGTCCGTCGAGGATGAAAATCCAGTTATAATCATAATCCTAATGCCTGAAATCCTGATACTGAGCCGCGGAAGACTTAACGAGTTGCCGGGACTCCGGTTCGAAATGCAGGAGTAGGAATGAGGTGGTTTTTTAGTCTGTAAGAGTCTGACACTCTCTCTCGCCTCGACCTGGGCGGGCAATATCATTGGATGAGTTCACCCTTCAAAAAAAAGGTTCTGAAATCCTAAAAAGATGACAATACCCCGTAACGGAGCTCTGTTCACCTCTTATTGAAGAGGCTTGAGTTAAATAGGAAAGTTTAAACGTGTTATGGATTATTATTAATACGAGAACATCACAGTAGGTAATCTAATAATAGTTTCCTTTTTCCTGGAGAAGGTAATAATATGTTAAGCTATTATTGTCTGATAACTTTGTTCCGAGTACAGGAAAACAGCTTGTTCTGAAAGTGATTTGGACAACAAAGGATTCGATTATTTTACGGCTATGTAGTGGAGGTAAACATAGGATAAAATTCCAGGCTTTATTTTATCAACCTGAGCTATGAAAATATTTCATCGACGATATTTTAAAATATCTTCGTAGCTGTTCGTAGCAGTAAAAATGAGTGTAGTATGCCCAAACCCAAATCTAAGTTTAAAAAAATGTCGCGGAGAACCTAACGGGTTACCGGGGCTCCGGTTCGACGTGCAGGAGAAAGAACGGGGTGGTTTTTAGTCAGTAAGACTCTGATACTCCCTTCCGCCTCACCCAGGCGGGAAAAGTCGGTCTATGATATGCCCTCTTAAAAAAAAGTAAAAAAAAGTTGATTCCCTTTACCTACCTACTTCTTCAGGATATTGAAAGTGTAATAATTTCAAGTAATTGGAACCATAACTTAATTGAATAGAAAGACGAATTCGCGATAAACTCATCAAAGGAAGATGGGATATCAACAAACAAACTGACATAAATACACATACACACATATTTCTTATATACAGCGTGTTTGATGCATAGACCGACACAAATATTTCTGGGATTTGAGAGCTAGGTACTTTTTATTCGAAAACCCTTAGTCCCAAATATCACGATTGATTAATTTTTAATTGAAATGAAAACTGTTCGGCAAATGTTTCCAACTATTCGAAATAACGTTAGAAAGGGTACCTATAAACTAAGGAATATTTTTTTTTTCGAATAAAAAGTAGCTAATGAACCTCCTAAATCAATAGTGTCAGTCCATGCGCCAAACACGCTGTGTATAAGAAATACGTGTATATGTGAAACCTTTCACAGCCGTGCGTGCGTGAAGAAAATTAACTACTCTCGTTATCTGTAGTTGACGGGATCGAATTAATGCGTAATATATAGTTAATAAAGATATAAGATACACGATACCTCTACAAATTGGATTAATTTTGCGAAGATAGTTAAGTAGTGTTGCCAAATTCTTTGTTTGTTTGTTTGTTTTGGAACTAGAATCGAATTTCATAACACGTGTAGCAGATGAAATTATTTTATAATAACTATTATACTACACTTGACCTATGTTCGCAATAAACGATTTGAATTTGAATTTAATTTTTTTTGTATTAATCTATGAAATTTTATTTCTCCATTATATTTTTATGACTTGTACTGTTGTATTCTCCAAAAAAGAAGAAGTAGAAATACCTACGTGTACAAACCACTTATGCAGCACATGTACTTTTAGATAGATAGGTTTTGGCCAGATTCTAGTGATGAAGAACAAGTACCAGTGGCCCTGTGGTTTAGGACATTTGAAACCTATCAACGTCACATTGGCACCTTGCCACCAATGTGACGTTTTACGACATATACGGTACTTTCTAAGATTATTTAGACACCACTGACAAACGGTGAATGAAAATATTGTGTGGAAACCTGAGTTTATAATTTTTATTAATTATAAGTTTGAAATCTCCACCTCGTATTGAGCGAACGTAGTGATTAATGTTCAAACCTTCTCCGTACGAGATGAAGTCTTTGGTCAGTAGTGGCCAAATGCTTCTATAGACTGTTGATGTATGATGTGTGATAAGTAGGTACCAAGACAGTTACTCATGTCCCTGGGATGCACCGGACTTCAGTGTTCCGGTGTTTTAATGGTTGTATCTACTGTAGACTCTGGTGCACAGGAGTTGCAGCGGTTTTGGGAGGTCGTGGCGGGCTTGTAAAAAAGTAGGTACACCATAACTTCAAGTGAAACAAGTGAATTTATTTCTGCAAATAGGCTACAAGGCAGCACAACACGTTAATTTTATCAAGCGAACGATGAGGACGACATTTCCTAACTGACTACTCTGAGAAGAAATGCCGAAACAAACTTAGAGGTCCGTCTCTTACATACTCACTTAAATTCTAAATAGAATATTAATATTCAGTTACCTAAGACTTTGATCTAAGCGGGGAGTGAACACGTCACAAGCACTTAAACCTAATAATATTAGATTTGTTACTTAAATATTGGGTTTCACTTGTCTTGTTTACGTTTTTTTAGAAACAAATAAAATAGTTTTGACATAAAGCCTCGATCCCGTTCGATTTCAATCATGGTGGTAAGTCTAACTAGTCTAGACCACAACACAGGAGATAGTACCAGAGTACCTATGTCATCATCAACAGACTATAAATGCCCACTGCTGAACAAAGCCTCTTCTCACACGGAGAAGTTTTGAACATTAATCACCACGCTTGCTCAGTAAATGTAACTCGGAAAAAGTCGCATTGGCACTTACCGTTGGTAGGTTTCGAAGCCGCACCCTCATGCATGAGAAGCGGGCGTCTAAAACCTCCGGGTCGGGCCGTTGCAGTACCAGTTGGTACCTTAACTCTTCCCGCGGATATCAAATAAAAGGGACTACACGTTTCCCTGGGCCACCACGACCACAGTAGTACCGATGTGCACAAACACAACTGCACTCTCTGAACCCGATGGGACGGCAGACAGACACAATATTTGGGAGATCAGGCGTTCAGCGTTGGACTAGCATTTACATGCTTTCCGAGGCACAAGGGTAAAACACCGCCGTACGTACGTAAAAAGTTAGTAAGTCAGCATACGCCCTTTATAAACTGGCACCTACCGTTAACAAGGAAACTTTACTCACAGCATATTACGGCCTTGTCGAGTCGGTACTGAGGTTTGGGATAATCTTTTGGGGTAATTCCACTCACAAGGATATAGTCTTCAAACAACAAAAACGTTGCATAAGAGCTATGTTCGGAATAAAAAGTATGGACAGTTGTAGGCCGCTATTTATTGAATACAAAATTTTATCACTTCCGTCTTTATACATACTTGAAGTTGCATTGTTTGTTAGAAGTAACTTGCACTTGTTTCCGCGCTTATCCGAATATCATGTTAGAAATCGACGTAATAATAACATTTGCATTCATCCATCTAGAACTGCATTGTTGCACAAAAGCATATTATGTCTGGGTCCTAAAATTTATAATAAAATACCTAAATCCATACAAGCCTTAAATTTTAACATGTTTAAAAATAAACTCAAACGTTTGTTACATAAGAAATGTTATTATAATATAGAAGATTTTTTGAAAGATAAATTAGATTTGTAATACAATTAACATAATTTTATTGTACCTGTAACGGTTAATATTGTCTTCTGTCTTTTTTGCTTATTTAGTTTTGCATGTATATATTCTTTTCACTACCTGCTTTAATATTAAATTATAATTTTAAATATTTGTACGCCAAAACGGCATAACATGTAGCTCATACTCCGAACTTAACACCATTGCATGTACTCTTGTAATATTACTCATGTTAACGCAAATAAAAAATATCTTTATCTTTATCTTTATCTTTATCTGTACTTCTTAACTCCAGTCTAAAATGGTTTACTTGGAAATGCTACTATGACTTTTTGTTTACCCGACGCAGGACGTAGGTTAACTGAGAAAAAAATTGGTTGGCTTCAAGTAGATACCTAAGTACTATGTACTACTAGTAGCTCTGCTCAATTTTGGTTTACTGTAAGTATAGGTCTTATGCTCCTTCATACAATAATAGGCGTAATATAATGTCATGTATAACAGACAAGCACTCGATGTTCTGTGCAGTAATTGGTGGGAACTCTTCAGCAAATTAGCTTTCGGAATAACAATAGGTACGTTCTTTGTAATGAATATGACCTAGAACGCAATAGTACGTTTGTTTTTTTACTCTAGAAAGATAGGCCAAAGTGTAGTGCTCATATTTATCCCATAGAGAAAGACAAAAATTCCTATAGGTATATGTTTTCTTTTAGAAATAAGTAATTGTGCGAATGGAGTTTCTTGCTCGTTCTTCTCCATTCGAATCTACATTTTGGAATGAGCACCTAGCTTCACCTAGCTTCACTGACGGACTAACTGACAGACTATTATTTATTTTATATTTGTTGACGTTTCAAAAGTACTTAATTATGGTTTAATTGAAAAAAAATGCTTTGACTTTGACTTTGGGCTATAAACATTAAGAAAACTGCTAGTCAATTTTATCATTGGTCGTGTCATATCGTGTGGTGGTAATTTGTAGCAAGCACGAGGACTTGGGATGCATCTTTGTGGAAAAATTAGGATCAGTGGAGAGTATCAAAATTTAAGATTCAAATACAGTATACTTCGGTAAGCTCGTTTCGTTAAGGCGCGTTGCTCTGGTTAAAACAGAAGGGAGTGTACTTAACTCCTACTCCGAGCAAAGCTGCAGTACCAACATATATCTCAATTACAGAAAATCAGTGGTTACAATGAGTAATAAAGTAACACTTACGTGGAGTAAGATTCAGGAATTCGAAGACACATCCTACGATCGGCTTCCGTGGTGGTCCAGGTAATTTGTCCAAAGGATTCTCCTCCTCAGCCAGGAGTCTATAGATCACCAGCCCGATGAAACCCACCAATAGCAATGTGGCGATCATTGTTATTACTTATTTCTTGCTTCAGTAGGGATGATATCTAAAAAGATAGAAATAATAGATATGTTTATTATATGTCGGAATATTAGTCAATTTATATTTAGCCTATATGTAAATTAAATTAAGAAAATCTTCAAAATACAGTAGGAAATGTATAGATTTTTTGAATTAATTAGATGTTACAGAAATAATAATTATTTAGAAGGAGTTTCGTACTACAAAACAAGATGAACAAAAGAATCTGTGTGTATGATACCTAAATTAAAATATTCTTAAACAAAACTTAACGAGAAATAACATGTAATTATAATATTCAAATATAATTCTTAAACAACAATAATCTAAGGATATTTATTCCAAGGTTACCTTGAAAATGTGCAAACATCGAGACTGCATCGTCGATACGTAGGTAAGTAACTAATATAAAGATTGATTCTCGTAACGAAGATACGTATAATATTCATAATACGCACAGATATATAGGTATTGTTCGTAGGACCTACAGTCGTATCATCGACTTAATTTACCATAGATTAATAAAATATTTATAAATGGCTAAAAAAAGTAAAAGGAGATTTCATGATTCTGAAAACATTTTAAGTAAGATACTATTCCCTTTAAAAATAGTAGGTAAAAATGTACATACCAAGAATTTGTGTCAAATTAAAACGAATTAATATTTCATTAACATATTGTTACACGAAACGTGTGAATAATCGGAATAATTAGCACGTCATTGTGAAACAAAATTCATTCATTCAAATTAGACCCAAAAATTATAAAGAACCCTCTTTAAACACACATCGAACAATAAACACGCTCGAAAACAAAACATGATCCGCCATTTTGAATATAACTTTCGCGCCAAATACAAAGTTGCCATATAAAATAATTAATTTTCCTAGCTTTAAAAGATAAACTTAGATGATATTAAAACTAATTTAAAATATACATTTGCACGTTCGTACTATTTGAATATATGCAGCGGTTGCATTAATAAACATTAATTCCGAATGCTCAAACACGGAAACTGGAAACAAGCAGGTATCTGTGATCAAATATTTGCTTCGTGCATAATCTGTAGCGCGGTGACGGCCATTGCTCGATTTCAATGCCGATTGAAATTCGAATAGATGTATATTCCAAAATCAAATTTACTTGTCAAAGGAGGTTAGTAGTGTTATTTAATCCTCCTTTTGCACTGAATGAAATCCATGTGAGTTAATTATATTAAAAATATCCAAACGTTTTGAATTATGTGTATAATCTTATAATTAAAAATAGGAAAATATTAGGTATACAACAGATTATCTATTTAAAACAATTCTTCAATACCATTCGCTCGACAATGTTCAATAATACTTAATACCTTACTTCCGTATTGATTTTAAATTTGTATATTTTGGCGAATTAAAAAACGAAACTCGTTATTTTAGCATTTATTAAAACCATAACATTATTATTAGTCCAAATAAAAAATATTTCAATTCAATTCACTGACCTTTTTCGATAATCATGAATAAAGATTTTATGTTCGATTCCGAATTATTTTTTAAAAATCAGTCATTGACAATAACTATCCGAACAAGACATTGTGGTTTTACGTGACGTGTTATCTATTATGTACTGAATTGTTATGTATACAAAGATGAGTAGGTACATAACATAGTAAATTACACAAGAACACGTCGTCATTTACGAACCCAGACGAGTGTCATTCGTTTTTACTGCTGGTAGAATACCTACAGATATAATTTTACACGGTTGGCGCAGTGCCTGGACCGTCGACGAGTCGAACCGAGCACGGTCTAATTTCGACCTTATTAAACGTAAGACAAACACGTATTAAGCTCTCAGAACTGAATAAATCCGTATAATTCACAATGTA